TAAATAATCAAACTTTTCCAAAAAGAAGGCTGCCAAAGAAGAGATAATCACTCTTAAAAATAATCGAAATTTCATCCGTATTTACATCTCTTACAATAAATGTCTTATTTGTATCAAACGTTTATTGAAATAGCAATAATACAATAGAAGAAGAAAGAAGAGAAAAGAAGAAATATATAAAAGAACCAAATTTAATAGAGAGATAAAAAAAAGAATCAAGAGGTTGAAAAGGAAGAAGACAAACATACTTATTCTGCTTATGAATGATATGTTTGATTTATATGAGCGGGACAATCGCTCATGGCCGAGTTCTCGTTTTTGGATTTAACCTGTTCCCGTCGAAGAATCCTGAAAAAAATCACACGGATACAACAAAATACAAAGAAGTCACGTGTTCACCGACGATAAGTCTAAAAAGTTAAGAAACGGCACGGTTCTCTTTTTCCCTCGAGCGTGACTTTGACGAGTCGAGATATATAGCGATGAAACGATCACTGTCAGATGCCTGAGGCTTGTGCTCGTGGTTTTGTCTCCAATTTCCGACGTGCAACTTCGTTCATCGAAATCGATAATTTTTTGTCGAATTTTTTTTTTTGTCTTTCTTTTATATATTTTTATTTTATTTTTCCTTACTATGGTTTCTTTAATTATTAATTATTGGATAAATAATAATAGTCTTTTGATTGCCTTAAAATTTTTTAATAATCTTAAAAAAAAATTGAATGGGTATTTAGAAAAACGGCGTATGTTAGGAATTTTATATGTGAATAAGTGTTTCCATGGAACAAATTTAGAGAAGGGCAAAATTTTGACTGAAGTTACTTCGTTATTCAAGTTAATTGGATAATTTATTATTTAAGCATGGAATAATTATAATTAACTGTATCCAAGTTAAATTATTACTTAGAGTAACTTTATTCGAAATTTTAATTAATTTTTCAATCCTTTAGTAGGTTAGAAAAGTGCTTTTACAAAATTTCTAATATTTGTAAAAGAAACTAAAAGAGAATGATAGTGACGAAATGAAAGAACAATGAAAAATATTTATTTTTTTCATTGCTAGTAATAAACAAAAAATAATTCTCTCTATAAATTTTACGAAATATAACCTCCTTTCCTCCCTTCTAAATACCCATTCGATTAATTTTCCAATTCTTCAGCGATCAGGCAACGATTCAAAAGGATAAAAATCGAATAATTTGAGGCAGAAACGATTCTTCTTTTTTAAATGAAAATCGAAAGAAATGAATGAGGTTTTGCGCGAGAAAAAAAAAATACGTTCTCCCAAATGGAAGCACGTTGTTCACATGTGCACGAAGTAAAGGTTTATTGGCAAGATTTGTATCCGATACACAAAGCACGGTGCAATTTATCGGTGAACCTTTATTGACGTTGGGCATGAAAACACGAGTCTCGTGTTTAGAGACACCCGCAGGACGATGGCCATCGGCCGTAGAATCGACGACAAACCAAATCCTGGGTAACTCGTGTCCTTCGGACAACATGCTGGCACCACTGCATTTCACTATCGATTCGATCGATTTCGCGAATTATTCAATTATATTGGTTTAACTTTTGTCCATATTTCTTTGTTCTCGAAGGATGACAGATTGAAATTTCTTTGTTTCTAAAAGGCAGCGGTGGTGGAAAAATACAGGAAGAAAAACATTCGAAAGAACAATGAAACTTGTGTGCACAAATTTTTTTCTCAAATTTTCAGGTCGTTGAATTTTCGATCGTGTTGTACTCTCTTTAATTACAAACGTGATTAATCGTAATTCTTAAAATTATTAATTTTTCGAAACGAAGAATTATTAATTTTCGTCGCGGTTACGGGCCAATGGCATGTGTGAATGGGTGTTCGTATGTAAATAAGATTATGAGCGACTCGGTTGTAAATAAAACGTAAAATACACATGTATCGAGTTTTAAATAATTCTAGATCACGATCTAAGTTAAACGAATAACTATGTAGACGATTAGAAGTTAATTACGAATTATAAAATCATATCCATGAACGCGCTGATATTAATGAACGGAAAGTCGATGCTCGAAATAATTATTTGCCTTTTATTTCAATGACGCGTTATTTATGTTAATTTAAATTTTAAATATTAACGCATATACACAGATATTTGTTTTTATTGTCACGTGACCGATCAATTGATCAAATTCTGATAATTAATTTCGCTATTTTTATTTTCAATTAATAATTTTTAATATCAAAGAAAAATAATTATAGGAAAAAGTGTTTGTTAATTAAAGTTTAATCAATAATTATTAAAGTTCTTCGTTGAAACTATATAAACGAGGACAAACGAAAATATGATGAAAGAGGCTGAATATGAACGACTTCCAATAAATGCGCGTTTAAATGAAGAAAAATTTGCGCGATTCTATGTACATAAATAAGCGTAAATATTATCGAAGCGATAATTGTGAAAATTAAGAAAGCACAAGACGATTAAGTTTAATAATCATTTCTCGACAAATTGTTGTACGTAAAAAAGAAAAGAAACGAATGATCGTAAAATAGAGGGAAGAAAAAACCAAGAAGTGAAGAACGATATAACGTAAAGAGAAAGTTTATAAAATTCTGTGAACTAATTTAATATACAGCGTTTAATCTCAGGCCTGTCCACATATAGAAATCTCAAATCGATTATTCTTCGCTATAGTAAAGAAAAATAGAGTAGTGAACAGCGTAAAAATAATCATATCGTATAGTCGATACTTTAGAGGATAAATTTACAGTACAAAATAAGAAAAGAAAAAGGAATAAAGGCAACGCTAGTCAAAGAGATAATTATAGCTCCATCTATGTATGGTACTGCTGAACTAAACTTAATTCCCTAATTAGAATAATATCGTTTTCTCTCATTTTGTGCTCTAACTTTGTTCATTGAAGAATCGATATATAATTAATGAATTATCTATGCATTTTCTATACTATAATAAGTATAGAAAGAAGATTTGGAATCCGAAAGGATATATCCGGTGAGCAGGCCTGGTTTATCTAGTGACACAGAAGTTGCGTGAGTTCCGAACTCTTCCCGAAGACTGCCGAAAACGCTTATTGTTTGAAACGCTTCGGCGTGCCGCAATAATTATCATTCCAAGCGGTGAAAAATAACTATCGCTTTCTCTATCATCATTTTTCATATTGAATCATATTTAATACTTATCGGTACCATATTTCGTCGGTAAATTGTATTACAGTCGGTAAATCGTTGATACGATATCCTTTTTCTTTTTACTTCGTATCTTAAATAATTTATCTTTCTTTTTTATTCTTTTTTCTATTTTATAAATATTTTCTATAAGTATTTTTAAAGTATTTCTATTTTAAACGAATCGGACATTTAATATAATATTATCGACTGTTAGTACGTAATATTTGCTACAACTTTTAATTTTGAAGTTTTAGATGTGTTTGCATTTATTACAGATATATTCACTTTCGTCGTTCTTTCTTTTTATGCACAATGATTCTTTTCTTTTAATTCGTTCAATTATTTGCACTCGAATTGTTCGAAAACTCACTCTAATAGATCTTAGATTGTTCCTCAATTTTTCTTTTATAAATTACTCACAGCACGAAGTCGCAAAAAAAAAAAAAAAAAAAAAAA